GATGGGACAAAAAATAATGGAATTAAAGGTAGCTGAATTAAAGATCATATTAACCAGAAGAGGACTGAGTATAGTAGGGAACAAGAAAGAACTAATGGAAAGACTCTATAAAGCTTTTGAAGAGGAAGGACTTGATCCTGAAACAGTCAGAATCCAAATGAGTACGATAGAAGAAGATACAAAAGAAACACATCAGATAGAAGAAATAGGGGATGGAGAGAGAGGACGAGTCAATATAATTGAACAATCAATAATACCACCACAAACATACACCGAAGAGACACAAAGCGGAATGATGCAGGCAATAATGAATATGATGCAAGATTTCGGAAGTAAAATAGAAGGAATACACAAAAATATGGGAAATATACAGCAAGATATGGGAAACATGCAGCAAAATATAAAAGAAGACATAGGAAATATCCAGCAAGACAGAAAGAAATATATTACAAGTAAACCAAAATATTAATAGAAATGAGATCAAAATTATGAAATTGATAAACATAATGGATGAAAAAATTGAAAAGGATAAGAAAGAAATTATGACCAGAATAGAATCCAATCAAAAAAAATTGGAAACCATTAATCAAGAAGTTAAAAATTATACGAAAAATGTAAACACAACACTGTTGAACATAGAAGAAAAAATAGAAGATAATGTTAATAGGATACAAGGGATCGAACGAAAATGGACAACAACAATAACCCTTTTAGATAATCATATTGAAGAAAATATTAAAGATGCAGAAGAGCGAATTAAACAGAATGTGCAAGAAAACATGAGAGTAGAAAGAATCATAATACAAGGAACAGAAGGAGTTGAGCCCGAACTCATATATTATGGAGATCTAAAGATACACCCTGTCCGATTTATAAAAAACATCGAAGAAAAATTATTAGAGAGTAGAGACAAGAATTGGAAGAAATTAATACGTAGAACATTGAAGGGAAGAGCTGTAATATGGTGGAATGTAGTAGAAGACAACTACATAGAATTTGTAAGTTTCAAGGATGCATTTTTGGAATATTTTTGGGGGGTGATAAAATACCGGTGTTACTTCCGAATATTTCTTTGGTAAAAATGTTCTGTAGCATGTCGCTGGTGTTAGAAGAATTGGGTTCTTTTGTAGAAATAACTAACGAGTCATAGGTAGTAGAAAAAGAAGTGTTTTTAATTTACTATTTTCACTTAAGTAAATACATAGTGGTTGAATCCATTTAGATATAATAATTTTCTTATCTTCACTAAACACTTTTTAATATTTACAATTTTAGTTCATCACAATTTGATTAACTAATATAGTTGATTTTTTAGTTACCAACTTGAAAACATTTGTTTGTAGAATTTCTTATGCCATAACAATTGTAGAAGAAATAACTTTCACCAGAAAATAAAATGCATTAAACGCTTGTAAAAATGTAGAAAGTAACGTGCCGTCGGCAGAAAGCACCTGGCAAAGACAACTGTGAGCTATGATGGCAAAAAGACAACTGAACTCGATGGCAATAAGACAACTACTGAATGATGGCAAACATACAACTGAACTCGATGGCAATAAGACAACTACTGAATGATGGCAAACATACAACTGAACTCCTCGCGTCTAACTCACCCTAATATATACTGTTGGGACGAAATGAGTGTCCGGGGCATAGTTCACGCACCTATTCGGTTTCAACCAATGAAAACATCATGACATAATGAAATACGTCATTTGTGCTTCGTTCACTATGCGCCGGACACTCATTTTGTTCCAATGCACCGCTGTGCACTTGAAAACACAGGTGTTCGACGTTCGGTATTCTGAGAAAAATGCTATTTATAGTTTTATGACTTCACATTATATTAGGGTAAAAAGCAGTCGAACTATTTGAGAATTGTTTATTTATTTAGTAGATGTAAAATATTAATTTGTTGATGTTTTTACTGGTGAAATTGTAGAATTTAACCAGGGGGAAATGACTCAGACAAAAGTAAGGGAGAATTTGTATCTGGGAACATATGATGAAAGATATGGTTTCACAAGGGAGTTATATGCTATGAAAAAAATTGATATGGCTAAATATTTACAACCACAGATGCAGATGTCAGACATAATTAGATATGTATCTAGACATTTCACTGAAGAAATTAAAGAATTCATAGCAATTAACGATATAAATACTGAAAAGAAGTTTTGTGAATATTTAAAGCGGGTGGATCAAGTAAAGGCAAAAAAGACGGGTTATCAGAAAAACAATAGTGTAAATGAAAATGATGAATCTAGGAAAAATGAATGGAGAGGAAACCAAAATTCAAGATTTGGAAGAGAAAACCAGGATTTTAATCAAAATAGAGGATATCAAAGAACAAACTATTATGGACAAAACAAGTATCAAAATAATTATAATTATAGACCATATAATAAAAGATATAGGGATGATAGAAATCAAGAACAACAAAGAAACAACAGAATGAATACAGAAGTAATAGATATAGGGAGAATGAATATGAACAGAGAAGAGTAGAAAATAATCATCTTGAAACACAAAATCCAAGAAGAGAAGAAAAAAATAGAAGTTGTGGACAGGAAGATTGGAATGAAGTAACGGTGATGGCAGATATAGAACATGAGCCTACCAGACAGGATTTTTAGAAGAAAGCAGATCAAATAAAAACCAGTACCGTGTATGTCATAGTAATTACTCCCACCCTAGGGAATTCATCACAATAAATGAACAAGAAGATGAATATATTAATAATTTATTACCATTTATAAAAATCAAAATTCAAAATTTAATAGTGACAGCATTAATCGATACTGGTTGCCAAATTTCTTTAATTAATGAAACAGTTATTAAACAGAATAAAATATCCATGAAAGAAAATATTTATAGAATAAACAAAATAGAAGTTATTGCATCAAATGGAAAAAAAATTGCAGAAGCAAATAAAATACTTAATACAGAAATAGAAGTTAATGGTGACAAAGGTGTTAATAATTTTATTATCATTCCTGGTATGACAATGGATGTGATTTTGGGTATGGATTTTCTAGAAAGGAATAAAGTGGAATTAAATCTAAGAACAAGAAACGTAGAAATTAATGGAAGAATAATAAAGATGATTCAATGTATGGATAAAAAGGAAATAGAAGAGATAGTGATAATGAACAATGAATTAAAAATAAGTAGAAGGGAAAAAGTAAGAAAAGAAGAGAGAGTAAATGCTAGAAATCCAGAAACAAATCAATATTTGGGTAATAATAAGAGAATGGTCATAAAAGAAAGGAAATTACCTACCATATATGAAGAAGCAGAAGAAGATAAAGTAGTAAAAAATAATGAACATAATAAGAATAATAGTAAAATAAGACAAGCACCTGCAAAAATAAAAACAAAAG